GCGTCTGTAAATTTTTTAATATCAAATCAAAAATGAACACATAAAGTTTCCGTTGTTGAATTATTCTTTAGGTTGAAAATCTTGGTCAAATATTAGCTAGAAACTAATGAACTCGAGTGATCTGCATATTAATATAACACAACAAATTTAATGTGCTACGAAGTATTGCGTTTGAAATATTATATGCAATAATATTTTGTCTGTAATTGATCCCAATTTTTCCAGTACTTGGTTATTTGAGATTGCTGGACAGATGCAAACGAAGTCGCAGAATATTAAGTAAAATTCATCGGAATGGCAAAAAACATAAAAGAACGTGGAGATGATGAAGTTGGATGAATCACTTTATACAGTCTCATTTAAAATTCATGTTCGATGAATAGTCAAGCAACATCGGGATTAACATATTCCGATGCACCTGGATGATAAATTTGGGGCAAGAATAAATGCAATTAATACAGAAATCTTGTAACAAGCAAGCTTAAAAATTAAATACCTTTAGTACTTGTAATCTCTTTGCCTTCGATTAATCAATGGAATCTTGTTTACTTTATTTATCTTCATATTAAACACTCAATTTAGAGTTTCATTACTTTCTAACGTTTTCGGGGGAGCGGAAAGGAGGGATTGGTTAGCATAAATTTTTCGAAAATTCCCGTTCCTCGGTATAGCGCGATGTTAAGTCGCAAGTGGCAACAGTCGTAGGATCGCGTCGAATCGACGGAACGCGTAATGGTGGCAACGGAGGGTGATCCGTGGCGGAAGTTCGGCACACTTACCAACATTGCCGCGGATGTTATCGGTAGAGACCTGTTCGGGTACGGCAGCGCGCGTGGGCGTGTCGGTTTCCTTCGAGCCACGGAGTCGGTGCGACGTTGACGGACGTTAATTGTCCAGTAAATTAGGAATCCTGGGAACACTTCGCGCGGCGCGGGTGTTTGAATCACTGCGATTCGATTATCGTAGGGTTTCGACTCGGGGCACCGATCAAACTCCGATAAATCACGGTGTCGTAGGCGTAGGGGAATTTGAAAATTACTAGACAAGGAAGATGTACAGTTTCATAGCACGCCTACGCGACGCTGTTCATGCAAATCTCCATTCCCGCGCAGCTGTAAATTAAAATTACGAAAGGGCGTGAGCCTCGGTTATACGGGATTCAAAGCGATCTTCTCGTATCGCGTTGGTACCATTCTAAATATTTCTGTACAACTTTGACTTTCTTGAATTACTCCAATTGCGTAAGCTTGAGAATTTGGGCTGTATATTCTCGATATTCGATGAGTACTTTTACTAAGTCCACTACCATTTCACTAATCTCTACTAAACATAATTCCAAACTAAAAACAATTTTCTCGACGAAGTAGCAACAGGATCTTTCAGATATAATTCTCCAATATTTTCCCAAAAAGTCAATGTAATATATCGAAGAACATTTCCAGGTACTACTTAAGCGAGCCTCTTAATCTCCTTTGAGATAAGCAGCTCAATATGACCGAAGATATTAAATTATCGATTGAACCGTTCGACAATGGAGTTATTACCATAAAAGGCTATACTTTGGAATAAGCATTTCCTTTTTTGGAAGCAAAAGATACCGGTACTGTAACTTTCCTTCGGATTAGCTTCCTTCGAAGCCTCGCCCGACAGGATCCTCGAAATTTCGAGATAAGAGAAACCGCGCGAATCCGTTCGCGGTTGCGATTAATTTTCTGCGTGTCATCGCTCTGCAAAATAAGGGCGTGTCGGATGATCCGGATGCGAGGTTCGTGTAAGTACGTGGCCGGGAAACGGTTAACACGTGCATAAAAGCGCGCCGAACGCTCGCAGTGTGTGCGCGTTCACGATGAATTAGGACCGAGCGTACACAATCGTCGCAGGTGCAGCCGGTTAACGGGGACAAGGGCCTCGCATCGCGTACACACGTATACACGTGTAATCGAGCGTTAAGTAATTTACATTTGTAAGGGCCCACGGTTCGCTTCGTGTGTATGACGTAACGCCCTGCGGTACACTGTCCCTTAAACCGTGCCGAACTCACGGAAGTTCAATCACCGTAGTGAACGCGGAATTTTTCCTGATACTATTTCGGGGATTCCGCTTCCGTCCAGATTGTTCTCTTCACATGCGAAGCTGCCTTTTAAGCTGGACGCCTTTTAAGCTGGATTATCTGTTACACGGACAATTAACGCGCGCGGGCGCCCCCTTCGTGCGTCGACTAGAACTAAAACCCACCGAATGCGTCGGGACAACGTCGTATCGTTCCCCGTGCGATTCAGGAAACAACAGACCACATCCAACAAATTTTCCCAGTAAAAGAGCAGTGTCTTATCGCGAGAAAACCATCGAAGGAGATAACAGACATCGGAGCTGGTTTTGAATCCGCGGGAAATGGCGTTGAATCTCGAATGTCCCAACGGCGTCACGGAAGAAAATAGAAACCCGGCTGCATTTAATTAACCGAGATTATTCTGAATCGGCTTTCATACGGGACATTTGATCCGCGGAGCGTTAAGCGCACGCGCTTTAATTGAACTTGACAGACGTTGGTTTCTATGATCGCGATCAATCGCTGTCCGAGGATAAATGATTCGACGTCGAAGGCGATCCCGATGAGGCGTTTCCCGCGGCTATGATCGCTGGTTAACAGTAGAACAATCAGCATATTGATTGAATCGTATTGATGGATTTTTATGTATTGAGATACGGGACGTTAGAAGAGATATAACGATACATTAAGATACGGGTGGTCAATGGAAAATAAATTAGCATGCACGCTCTTTCCTTTATTTTGACTAAAGTCAATGTAAACTCCAATGAAAGGACTTGATAATATTTGCAATGTAAAACGCATTTATAAATGGAAACTGTAATTTCCAAGGGGTAATTTCGAAACTTCAATATCGTCTCGGTGGCTACAATATTATTTCGGAAACTGCATTATTTTCAGAATTACTAATATTGCTTTTGAAAATGCATTATCGTCTTGTGAGCTATAGTTTAAAGTTAAAATAAAAGAGTCGCATATACTCGCAGTGGAGGCTAGAGTTTTCATGCGTACTGAATGCATTAAAATGGCGAGCGTAGAGGATGCTGTGAAAATTGGTGACGCGCGTGCGCCCGCGCTGACCCGTTCAATTAAATCGGTTGAAGCGACGAGCACGAGCTCTCAAGGAAGCCGTGGGTCATTGATATGCGAACGGAGCGAAGACCTTGGCGATCCCGCCACGGCTGTTCCGTTCTGACGAATCGCAATCACGTGTTGCACGTTTGCGAACCGAGTTTTCTTCGGTCTTCTTTTTCCATCGTTCTCGCTAGAAAAGGACCAGCGGGGAATTCTTAATGCAACGCGGCGCCATAGACCGTTTAACGAGCTTCTTAGATGCAGGGATTACCAGGGGAGCAGCTGTTTATCAATTTTCGAATCGCAATAAAGAATTAAGTGATTGTAGCAATGAAACGGTCTATGGGAGGATGCTGAAAGTTTATGGTTTCGTGGACGAATTTAATAAGAAACACATTTTAATAACATATTGCGAACAGAAGAAAAGTTTCTTGATGGGATATGCATGCAACACGGTTGGAGAAACAATTAGGACGTTCTATCGGGTTTGAAAAGATAAGAACTTCGCTGAGTTGGAAGAGTCCTGTAGGCAGCGGGAGTGTTTGAAAGTGTACTTTGTTGAACGAGGAACAACAAGATGGTCGCATCTGACGAGGCTGAATCACTTAAAAAACAAGCAGTCAGTCTGTGTCAACGTAGATACCCTATCGTACTCTTTATCTTAACTCAGCTAGTTGGTTTACGTGCTGTAAATGCTGGCTTGCAGTTTGCCAGTTGAAGAATTCTTAAATGATAACTGCAACTGAATATCCTTGATGACCTGATACTCTCAGAAAAATGAACTCATATAGTATTTATAAGGAAGTGTGATATGACTCTTTGTTAGTATTACATTTAGTATCTTGTACCATTGTGTTATGAATTATCGTTAAATCTACAACGTTGCACAAATTTATTACGCAACATGGCGTGCACACCTTTCGTAATTTTTGTGCTTGGAGTCTGCACGAATATACCTTGTAGATCACAATCGTTCGAAGGATATTGTCTAAAATAATTTAGAAGAGAGTGTATTTCCCATTGGTTAAAGGTGTTTCAGTATTAATGATACGATTTTTGAGGAAATTATCAATCATTTTGGTATTGTTGTAGTCCAACGAGTCACTGAATCTTTAAATTCATCTTCTTTTTAATATCTCTTTAAGTTTCGTGAACACAGGATTCAGTATTTTAGAGATACAAGTTACTGTCACGTGTAAACTTTAAAATAATTTATCTTGCCATCTACGAGTACTCCAAAGAATCATAATTTTTAATAAGTGATATTTATTTAATATTCGCAAAGAACCATTTTGCATCCAGAAATCTAGATATGCTATCAACTATATTTATATCTTACACGCACAAAATGTTTTCGCCAGAATATTATTATTGCGTCAGCATTGCAAGTGGCTTTATGAAGTGCCTAATGACGCACCGATACATTACCCATATCAAATTATGATTCAGTATCCACAATATCAGCCTCAGAAATCGGTATCCAATCTACAAGATTAATATCTTTTTCAATGGAACACAAGACACTTGAAACCAATAAACAAATATTGGAACCATCATTAAATGATCCTATTAGTGCAATTTCAAATTTCACATACTAAAGATTTCAATGACATTCACGTTTTACTTGCAATCCAAAAACATTAGACAAATTTTAATCGACACAAGTCACAAAGCATTTATTCTAAATCATCAACTCTATTTCAATAAACATCAAAGAAACAATAGAATCTGCTATAATCGTGCAAAGTCCATACGACGAAGGAAGTCTAGCAATCGAGAAATTTAGTACAAATTAAATTCGTCTTCTACACGTGAGACTGCAGAAAAAGCGACTACTCCGGAGAAAGAAATTAATTCGTTTCCTTTCACATTGCAGGCTGAATCGGAAGTCGCCGCTCTGAACCGTCGCATCCAGCTGTTGGAGGAGGACCTCGAGAGATCCGAGGAGCGCCTCGCAACCGCCACTGCTAAATTAGCAGAGGCGTCGCAGGCCGCGGACGAGAGCGAACGGTAAAAGACGCCGTGTTATTATCTTCATTTCTCCTCGATGACGACCGCCGCGCGGCCAACGTAATTTTTATAAATATCCGTCTAACGACGACCGGCTTCGCGTATGCACGCCGCGCCGTGTGCCCGTTAATGAGCGCTCTTGAATGGATATTTATAAAGAAGTCGCTTACGTTGACGCGCGGCCGGCTGTCGGGTTCGCTCAATGGGTAGATAATAGCACCCGCGGGACTCATCGATTCAGGAACGATGCAGAGTTCATGCACTTTCGTCGGTGTCTCGCGGGTTCACGACTTCACCCTGATCTTAGCTACCAGAATGTTTGGGTCCGTTCGAGCTTGGGTATTTCAATATTTTCGCTTACTCTTGTTTTCATTTTGAAAACGTGATTTGGCGTGAACGTGTCCGACGATTGAACATGTTGCATTTTTCTCAAAATTTCATGGGAACGTGATGCATTTTGCGGATGAAACTTTGGAAATTGCTGATATAAGGGTTCTGTACTGGGATAGTTGGACGTTGTTTTCTTTATAACTGAAGTATTTGGTGTAATGAATTCTGTATAGTGAGAGATATAGTCTATTTTGTATAGTAAGAGTTGTAGAGTATTCATTATTGCGATCCACTTTATCAACGGGAATGTCGAAATCTGTTGTATATTAAATATCGATATAGTCGTACATACTTAATTCAACAAAGGAATGTTACGGTGATCGTAAATTGAGATAACGGCCCATTGTCTTTTAAATGAAGTAATTGTCCTTGACGATGGTATTCGCTATTATCTACCTTGCCCGATAAATTACATCGAGTTTTGTGAGGGACTAAATCCATATTCGTTTCAGATTGTTTTGCTGAAGTTATTGTAAATAGAGTACATTCTTTTTAGGTCAGTTTTTGATTTTAATCAAACTTAAATAGAACTAATGGTTGCGAAATGTTTAAATTTACTTATATCGAAATATTTAATTAATTAAATACAAGGTGAAACGATATTAAAATGTGCTGATTCTTTAATTTCAAAATTCGAGCATCCGTAAAATTAGTTCACTTTATTTTTCGTTCTAGATAATATACTTTATAAACTGATGCGTACATTTCTTTTACAATAACTTCAGCAAAAGTTCATCGAATAATCGAAAAGAAGTTCGAAATTCCTACGAATTCGCACACAACCGAAGTTGACATTGAATGTTCAAAGAAGTCGAGTCGAAAGAGTGAATATCGTCGAAATCGAATGTCCTCTATCAGATCTATTAATAAACCGCAGCACAATGTCACATCATAATCATTTGCGAATAATGTTGCTCCGAGCATAGCCACGCAAACGATTTACGTTTATCTAATAATCGAATGCTCGAGGCCACTGGCATAGCGGTGGGTAATTACTGATTTCACGTTCACACGTGGTGGGTGTTTAATTAGAAAATGATGCATACGTTAGATTCAATATCGCTGGGCTCATTACACGCACAAATTACTGTAATTTTTCTCCTTGAAATTACAGTCCATAGAAAAGTTTCTCTTGCATGTGAATCAGCGTATTAAATTGCCGATAATGAATTGAGCAAAGGAAAACAAGATGGTAACTTGAATCGCGTGCTCGTTTCGCTTCGACTTCGACTGAACATCGGGACACTGTTATCGATAGAACTAACCTTTCGACGTTGAAAGAATCTCGAGATTACCGGACCGCAATTCTCTATTTCCATTATTATCTGTATCGATAAGGATCGAGTATTATCGCGCAAGTTTAAAGATCCAGTCCGCTGAATCTATTATCGATCCCGATTACACACGCGTACGTAAAGTAGCCGACAGATGATTTATCGCGGCTGATAACGGCACGATATGCTCGCGGTTTTTCTTATTGCGAGAACCTTTGTAAAATTCATTAGAATCTTTTTCAATTTATTTTTTAGGAGCAAATCGTTTTTTGAATATTCATTTTTCGATTATAAATTCATTGATAAACTAGTGCGAAGTGTCACAAAAATTTTGTATTTCTTTCGGTAAAGTTAAGATTTTTTACGAAATAAATTTAGACGAAGGAGGAAGTTTCCTTTCGAGGGAGAAGTAAATATAGATTTTTTAAAGATTTTATTGAAAGTTGTATCGAGAAAGGTACCGGAAGTTGCTTTTATTGAGTCGATGGACTCTTCATTTGTATTTCAATGATCTTTCAACGGCGACTAAGCTAAATCTCGAATGATAATCGATCGCTAGGATACGCAAGGCACTCGAAAACCGTACCAATATGGAGGACGACCGGGTATCCTTGTTGGAGCAGCAGCTAGCACAGGCTAAACTGATCGCCGAGGAGGCGGATAAAAAATACGAGGAGGTGGGTCATGTAACTGCGAAACAGGACGTTCCTTTGTCCATTTGCCGAGTTTGGCAGCGAATTATCGACTACTTTGACGAACCGACATTTTTCCTCAATTTCACAACTACAAAGAAAAGTAGATATATATAAATTCATAATCGAAAACTATTCAGACATTAAACAGACATTAAACAAAACATAAAAATTAATCGAAATAAGTTTCTCAAACATTCACGTTAAAGAATAATCGTCCTCTTAAAACCGTGTATCACTTATTTCCTAAATTAATCAAAGTTCGTCGGAGACTCTTAATAATTCGCTGCCACGGGCGCAAATTTCAGGTATATTTAGGTAGATCATCGGCAGCAGGCGAGCGGGGCAGATCATCGTCCGTTCATCATCATCGGTGTACCCGCGATCATTTTAGTTTAAGATACTCGACAATTTCCGCAGCGTGCCGTTGTTCTAATCGTGAATGTTAATCCGGATTCTTTGTTGGTAATTATTAAAGAGCCCGCAAGATTCTCGAGAATCGCAGCTTGGCCGATGAAGAGCGTATGGACGCCCTCGAGAATCAGCTGAAGGAGGCCAGGTTCCTCGCTGAAGAAGCTGACAAGAAATACGATGAGGTTCGCGAGCCCACCGCTCTCACGCGTGATGGCTGCAGTGACAATGATAACGATAAACGTAACGATCACGACGACGATGGTTTCTAGTCGATGGTCGAGATAGTGCCTAACCCCGTAACTCTCTGTCTTCTCTCTGTGTGCTCGACACCGCCGTGGCCCGGTTAAAAT